CCCTCATCCTTCCCTCACACTTTCTTCTTCCCTCACCCTTTCTTCTTTAATCACCTTTTCTTCCACCCTCATCCTTTCTTCTTCCTTCACACTTTGTTCTTCCCACCCTTTACCTCTCCCTTTCTTCTTCCCTCATCCTTTATTCTTCCTCCACCCTTTCTTTCACCCTCACTCTTTCTTCCACCCTCACACTTTCTTCTTCCCTCACACTTTCTTCTTACCTCACCCTTTCTTCTTCCCTAACCTTCTCTTCTACCCTCATCCTTTCTTCTCTCACACTTTCTTTTCACCTTCTTTTCTCCCCCTCATCCTTCCCTCAAACTTTCTTCTTCCCTCACCCTTTCTTTTTTCACCCCCTCACTTTCATCCACCTTTCATCCTTCCCTCACACTTTGTTTTTCCCTCACCCTCTCTTCTTCCCCTTTCTTCCACCCTCATCCTTTCTTCTTATTACACACTTTGTTCTTCCCTCACCCTCTCTTCTACCCCCTCCCTCCTTTCTTATTTTCTTCCTCCCACCCTTTATTCTTCCCTCGCCCTTTTCTTTCACCCTAACCCTTTCTTCTTCCCTCACACTTTCTTCTTCCCTTACCTTCTCTTCTACCCTCACCCTTTCTTCTTCCCTCACACTTTCTTTCATCCTCACCCTTGCTTCCACCCTCATCCTTCCCTCACACTTTCTTCTTCCCTTACCCTCTCTTCTACCCTCACCTTTTCTTCCACCCTCATCCTTTCTTCTTCCTTCACACTTTGTTCTTCCCTCACCCTCTCTTCTACACTCTCCCTTTCTTCTTCCCTCATCCTTTATTCTTCCTCCACCCTTTCTTTCACCCTCACTCTTTCTTCCACCCTCACCCTTTCTTTTCCCTCACACTTTCTTCTTACCTTTTCTTCTTCCCTAACCTTCATTCTACCCTCATCCTTTCTTCTCTCACATGCTTTCTTTTCCTTCACTCCTTGTCACCCTCATCCTTCCCTCAAACTTTCTTCTTCCCTCACCCTTTCTTTCACCCTCACCCTTTCTTCCACCTTCATCCTTCCCTCACACTTTGTTCTTCCCTCACCCTCTCTTCTACCCTCACCCTTTCTTCCACCCTCATCCTTTCTTCTTATTACACACTTTGTTCTTCCCTCACCCTCTCTTCTACCCTCTCCCTTTCTTCTTCTCTTACCCTTTCTTCTCCTCCCACCCTTTATTCTTCCCTCGCTTTTTATTCTCCCCCCACACTTTCTTTCACCCTCAACCTTTTTTCCACCCTCACTCATTCTTCTTCCCGCACCCTTTCTTCCACCCTCACCCTTTCTTCTTCCCTCATCTTCTCTTCTTCCCTCGCCCTCTCTTCTACCTTCACCCTTTCTTCCATTTCCATCTCTTCATCCCCTTCTTTTCATTTTCCTTCTTTCATTCTTCTTCCTTCTTCTCCTCGTCGTTTTTTTCTTCATTTTCTTTGTCACTTTTTGGTTGACTACTCTTTATTCCTACTTCACTCTTTTCCTTCTCTTTTCTTCTTTCTCACCACTGCTTTTTCCCATCCTTCCCCTTCTTTCTTCCTGTTTCGTCCTCTCCCTCTTTACTAATTCTTTTTTCCCCTCTTTATTTTCTAGCACTCCTTTAATTGACCCTTTTTATTTCTTTATCTCCAATCCCACCAGTCTTCTTCATCTCTTCCTCTTTCTTCTTTTCCTTTCTTCTTTCATCTTTTTTTTTCTTCTTTTGTCAACCCTGGACATCTTCTTCTTCCTTGACTCCATCTTTGTTTTTGCAGTCAACTGTATATCTTTTGCCTTTCTTTCCTCCTATTTACACACTTGTTTCTCTACTGAAGTATTTCCATTTTTTTCTCCATTTGCTCCACTTTCAACGTTTTATTTTTGTTCATTTCTCCTCCCCCATCTAATATCTTTCCCACTTGCATCATATCTATAAATACGTTAAGAGAAACCATGATATGTTTCCCCATATGTACATAGTTACTGTTTCTACTTCTTTTGTTTGCTGTTTATATCTACCACTGATAGTTGCCATGATTCCACCTGTGCAAAAGATATTGGTGTTCTAACCAGAAGGTACAGGTCTAGATAAAAATAATTTCTATGAAAACAATCAAAATGCTTCTTATGACTTATGGGCACAAAATTTAGTCTAAGCACATCAATTCAACCATGGCTGAATGAAAAAGAATGTTGTGAATCTGAGAATGAGAAAAGTTTATAAAATTTTAGAGGATGCAATACATTGAGATGAGGAATTATTATTATTATACTAGTATATATTCAGACTAGTATCCTCATCTTGGCTGTTATAGTCAAAATGATTTGGGCTATTTCTCATATGAGGAATTATCATTATTATATATTGATCTATTCAGACTAGTACCCTCATCTTGGTTGTTATAGTCAAAATGATTTTGGCTATTTCTCAGATGAGGAATTATCATTATTATACATTAATCTATTCAGACTAGTATCCTCATCTTGGTTGTTATAGTCAAAATGATTTTGGCTATTTCTCAGATGAGGAATTATCATTATTATACATTGATCTATTCAAACTAGTATCTTCATCTTGGTTGTTATAGTCAAAATGATTTTGGCTATTTCTGAGATGAGGAATTATCATTGTTATACATTGATCTATTCAGACTAGTATCCTCATCTTGATTGTTATAGTCACAATGTTTCAGCCATTTCTGAGATGAAAATAATCATTTTTATACATTGATCTACTCAGACATGTGTCAAGTCACAACTATGGTTACCTGGTTTATTTTATAACCATCTGAAAATTCCATAGCTTTTTATTCAGCCTTTTATGATAATTAGTATTTGATAAAAATGTTCCATAATGTATCTACACACTTCATAGTCATGAATTCAATTTCTCTTTTAAGCCATGATCATTATATTTTCTAGTTTAGTGAATAAAACAAAACTTGTATCAAAAGGACAGGATTTTTGTGAAGAATTAACTAATAGTAGAGATGTATAGTGGAACGAGAAAAGCCTATCTGCATATTTAATAAAGTTTTTGGTTCAGTCTCCATAGAAGATTATCAAATATGACAGACACAGGAAAAAATTTTGTATATACAATGGCCAATGTCTTTTTCTTTATGATTCTGGAGACTAAGATGAGAACTGATGAAATAGATTTTTATGGCAATGGTTGTTTCACACCTGAGACATCTCAAAAGATAATATAGTAAAAATGCTGAAGCTATAAATTTTCCTCAACCAATCTCTATATTTATAATATAGTATCTACCAGCCTGCCTAGGGAAGGTGTCCATCATGCTCTAAAACAGGGGTTGACAGCCTTTTAGAGAAAGTGAGCCACAAAGCTATGCAAGTGTCTCAGAGGAAGGTCATGATATCAAATGTTCTATAACAAACTGTCTCGACCTCAGACTGCTCTATCCAGAAGGCTGCCTAGGTCTGGCAGTTTAAAGAAAAACAACAAAGTTAATGTTATATTATTTAAACAAAGTTCCTTATTTTTACTGCAGGAATAACAGGATAGCAATTAACACAATCAACCAAAAAATGGAATTCCTTACTAAAAAACAAAATACAGTTAGGAGTCTCAAATTATTTAATGAAACACTTGTTTCTGCTTATTGTTTGATAACTTCTCCACATCATGTGAAATATTTGTCGATGACAGGAGCAAAACATCATCCAGGTGGTCACCATCCAATCTTGTTCTAAAAATGATTTTTAGTATTTTTCATTTTCAAAAGAAGTTGTTCACAAACATATATACTTCCAAATAATGATACTATGATTTTCACATTATTCAATAGGCTTTTATATATTTCAATTGACAAAACATATTTCTTGTAGAAGTCAGTAGTGGGTTTGGAATTAAATTTTGATTTAAAAAAATTGTTCAATTGTAAGTAAATTCATCATCATAATCTTGCAGCCTCAGCCGAGATTGAACTTACTAATAATTTGATTGGTGTAGTTCATAACCTTGTCAAATAACTCAATTCTTGATGCTTCGCTAGGGCTATCAAGGGTGTTTTTTATCATGACACCAACACTAAATGGATTGCCAACCAAGGCTCAGAGAGACTCCATTCACCCTCATCTTAGAGCAGGTTTGAATTCAGAGTTTTCCTTCTCCTAGACCAGTTGCCATCCAAGGCTATAGAACCCAGTCTGTCCTGCTATTTACCCATAGCTGGAGGGAGAAGAAAGAGGATTCACACCTTTCCCAAGGGTGTTAGCACGTAAGTGAATGTAATGGATTCGACTGGAATTTGAACTCGGCTCTCCGATTCCTCAATCCAAGCCACTATCCATTATTCCACCATGCCTCCCTAAGTAAATTAACTCCAACTGATATTTTTTCAGTCATTTGCTCCACAAATGAATTAGATAATTAGTTACCAGATGTTAAGTTGGTGGGCCAGACAAGAATCTTTTACAGGCAGAATGTGGCCTGGGAGCCTGGGGTTACCAACCCCTGTTCTAAAAGAAAAGAAATATAGAATAAAGCTTTATCCATTTTCAAAGATTAAAAATGTGTTAAAACTCAAGCTGTTCATATCCTTTCCCCTTTTTCCTTTCACCATCTTTAATTTTCCTTTTTCTCTAGCTTTGTGCACCCAGGTTGTGGCTCTCCATAACTTCCTCTACTGTGTCTCTCTTAACAATGTTTGTCTTTTTACTATTTTTGCCATTCATTTACACAAGCTCATTTACTCAAGTTATTTATTTCTGTCTTGTTTTTAATATATCCTGTGAGTGTTAAATTTTTGGTGTCTTCTTTCCTCTTTATGAAACAAATAAATTCTTACCCAGTCTTTTGTATATGAGTAGAGGTTTATACCTTGTTTCCAGTTTAGGATTGGGTTTCTGGTTCCTTCTAAAGTCTTTTCATTCTTATTCACTTCCTGTATCTCCTTGCGTCTTAGTGGCATTATTGCCTTGCTTGAGGTGAACTGATTAAAAAACAAATTATTACAGGACTTTGAGGACCAGATCCATCATAGCTTACATCACCTGGTATTCCCAAGCAGTCACCTATCTATGTACTGACCAGGCTTGACATTGCTTAACTTCAGTAATCATGCAGGAACAGGTGTTTCAAAGTGATGTGATCATAGTCCTGGCTGAGAGAGAACAGGGATGAGTGGGTGGGAAGTTTATCCAATGAGAACTGTGCAAGTGCTTATAGCAGAATCAGATATAGAGAATGAAATCCAAGGAATCTTTTTAGACTTTGAGATCTTCCAATGCAAACGTGAATACCAGATTTGGTAAGAGTTAGAAAGAAGTAAAAATGGTCTGTGGAAACATCGGAGTTTTTAAGAAGATTAAATAAATAGATAAGCATCTTTAACTTGCCAGAGAGTTGAGGAATTTATGGATGATGAAGATGGCAGTCATGCTGGTCATTACTGGAGCTCTAGGAACAGGTGTTTCAAAGTGTTGACAGTTGCAAATCAAAAGAATAAAACATGTCGGAGTGAAAATTTTTGTCCTGTTTTGTACTGCATAGTTGATCTGAAAGGAAGGAAAGACATAGATATGTTATAGTCACTTTATCAGAGAACTGAGGAAGTTGTGAAATATGAACATGACAGCCATACAATTAATTTCTGAAGCTCCTGAAGAAGAAAAAAATAAAGGAATATAAAATTAGAGAAAGAGAACAATCTAGATGACAGCCATATTAAAAATTACATGAATATTAAGAAAAATGCTGGTGTATTGACAAAACTTACTGTCAGCTAATCCTTAATGTAGACAACAGTTTCAATGAATAAATACTTCTAATATTTACACTATTTACATTCTTAGGACCGTTGTCCACATTTTCGTTGCCATATTCACAACGTTTCAGCTATTGTATACTCTGACCTTCTTCAGATGATTGGAATTTCAAACTGAACTCTTTATTTCATCCACCAGAGTAGATTGTTCCAGTTCCTCATGTCATGCCTCTTTCAGATTCCTTTAACTTAACTCTCCAAGTCTTTGTTCCATTAACACTTTTATCCACTGTGCCATGTGTCCTTGAAGACATCGTTGTATGAATATTTGGGACGTATAAACTGAATGTCTCATTTTTTATCAGAGCTCATATTACAATTATGTTGCTATTATTGTTTTTTTTTTCTAGCACTCTGTATTATTGGTTCCCATATTGTATTCATTTCTATGCTTGGCTGGCATTCGAGATTTTTGTGGCAGAGCATTATGTACTGATTCCTTAAGTTTTCATATGTTCCAGTTGAACTAGAACAATCTACCTCATCTCAGAATTATAGACATACTTCTAATACTATGCTTATTACTGAAGAAATTGTTTGAATATTGTTAAGACTTAACATACTCTCACTTGGATTCCTGTGAAAACTACCAAACAACTGGTGTAGAAATTATAGTAATTATAATTCTATTAAGTTGAATGAGAAAAGATTGATTGATTGATTTCTATAGCTTATCAACCCTTTGTATTGTAAAATTTTATTTTGGTTATAATAATGGTTTTAGTGATAAATCTTAGTCTTAAATCTAATCCATAGCAGTGGGGAGAAGAGGTGGATTTATATTTTTCTCAAGAATATTTATGGATAAGTGAATATAACAAACCTAATAGAAATTAAAAACTCAGCTCCCTGATTATCAATTTCTTTAATCATTTCACCCCAAGCAAGGCCATAAAGCCACTGACACAAGAGGTTACTGAGTATCATCATTATTATTATCATTATTATTATTATTATGAATATTATTATTATTGTCATTATTATTACTATTAATATAATTATTATTACTATTATTATTATTATGATTATGATCATCATTATTATTATTATGAATATTGTTATTATTATATTTTCTTTGATTTCTGGCGTTTACATTTCTTTCCGGGTCCCTTGAGGACCTAAGGTTAGAAATGGCATCATGACACTTTCCACTGACAAAAAAAAAAAAAAAATTAAATTACATAGATAAAGCCCTTCGTAAAGTGTGGGCTGTACTTGTCAGAACAATTTTTTGTATCTCCTATCTATTATGAATATTATTATTATTATTACTATTATTATCATTTTTATTATTATTATGATTATGATCATCATTATAAAAGATTGATTGATTGATTTCTACAGCTTATCAACCCTTTGCAACCTTTGCAAATATTTTTGTATTGTAAAATTTTATTTTGGTTATAATAATGGTTTTAGTGATACAAGTCTTAAATTTAATCCATAGCAGTGTGGAGAAGAGGTGGATTTATATTTTTCTCAAGGCTATTTATGCATAAGTAAATATAATGAACCTAATGGAAATTGAAAACTCATCTCCCTGATTATCAATTTCTTTAATCATTTCACCTCAAACAAGGCCACAAAGCCACTAACACACAAGAGGTTACTGAGTGTTAGAGAATATAAGAAAACTATTATTAAGGTGAGAGAACAATAAAAGAATAAAGATTAAAAAAGCAGAAGATAACAATTGACGTTGCATTTAAATTTTTGAAGCTTAATGTTGACTGGGAAACAAGAAGCCATAAGAGAGTTCCACAAACCAAAGGTATGATAGAAAAAACTGTTAGCATTAGAACTTATGGTTGCATCTGGTCATTTCAACTAGAAAATGATTAGACCTTTCCACCAATCTAGTACTGAGCTTAAATTCATAAAGTCTAGGTACCATAGTGGAAAGTTCATCAGAATAATTATCAGAAATATATTTATAAAAAAGACACAGAGAAGCTACATTATGGTGATGGGAAAGGCACTGAGGCCAAGATGTCAAAACAGGACTAATAATATTGCAGATTCTTTTTGAGATTTTATTAAAAATCTATAAATATATAGCAGGAGCACCAGACCAGTTATGGCAGCAATAGTCAAAGCAAGGATAAATTCCAAGCCATTATCCAATATATTATCCAGACATCAAAGCTTACAGCACCTGGTATTCCGGACTGAGAGAGAATACAACAACAGAGATGAGTGGGTGGAAATATCTCCAACAAGAACTATACAAGTGCTTATATTTGGAATCTACTGATCAGATCAGACTCAGACATAGAGAATGAAATCCATGGAATCTCTTTAGACTTTGAGATTCAAACAATCTTCCAATGCAGACCTGAATACCAGATTTGGTAGGAGTTAACAAGAAGTAAAAATTTCAATGTTTCCGCATAGTCTGAAAAAACATTAGAATTTCTAAGAAAATTAAATAAATAGATAAGTATCTTTAACTTGCCAGAGAGTTGAGGAATTTATGGATGATGAAGATGACAGTCATGCCAGTTATTATTAGAGCTCTAGGAATAATCTTGAAGTGTATAAAGGTTTACAGCCATGTCATGTTGAAACACCAGTTTTCATACAATCACCAAAGTTAAGCAATACTGAGCCTGGTCAGTATGTAAGTGCATGACTCTTTGGGATTAGCAGGTGCTATAAGCATGGGTGTGCAGTGGTGTAATGGATAACTTGGAATTGGTATTCAGAAAGCTGAGTTTCAATACTGATTGGGTTCATTACATTTCTGTATGCACAAATACCATTGGGAAAGTTATGAATCCAACTCTTCTCTCCCCCCAGTTATGGATTAATTAGTAGAACTTGTATCAGTAAATTATTATCTCCCACCCCACCAATTTTACAATTTAAGATATTTTCAGGCTTTAAATAACCTGATAATGGTTGATTAGCTATCAAAACCAAATCAATCTGTCAATAAAGTGTACAAGAAGAAGTTGGGGTTTGACCTCTGTAGATGATAGTAGTACTGTAACTATCATCTAGAACAAGGACCGTCAAGTAGGGTGTGAGTAACCCCCTAGGGTGAGGAGTTCAAGGCGTTAATGATAGTCAAGGGGTCAAATGGGTGTCAGTGTGCAAATGACACTGAGCTAAATTTTAGTTAGTGTTCATATATGTTGTATTCTTTGATGCAGATGAAAAAAAGGCACTGAGTTTGACGATCAGTGGAATTAAAAACCTTAGTTACACGTATCCAAGTAGTTATTAACTTATTTTGATGAGATTTATTCAATGCTACATGTAGCATTGTTTGCTCTTTTTTAATTGTTTCTTGGGAAAATTCTGAAGTTGATGATACTGTGAGGAAAATTTAAAACCTGATCCACATTTCCTATATTTTCATAAATTTTAATTGATATTTAATTGCCAATATCAGTGTGAGTTTTAAAGTTCAAAGATCTTTTAAATGGGTGTCACTGGGGAAGGAAGAAAAACAAAAGTGGATTTTTGGTCGAAAAAGTTTGGTGAGCTTTAATCTAAAATATTAGGAAGTGTGTCATGGTACTGAATAGAGTTGCTGTCACTTGACATATTTCTTCATTCTTTTTTTTTTGCCTGTGATTTTTTTCATTTTCATATTTCTTTCTCTGCATTTATTTTTCATATTTCACATTTTTTTCCTTCCTCATTTTCTAACCATTCCCTTTTTTTTTTTAAGTTTCTTTTATCATCTTCTTCCCATTTTTCATTCAAAGTAATTCAATCTCATTCCTTCATCTTTTTGTGTCTTCATCTTCTATGGAATCAATTTCATACCAATTCTTAAAATCCCCTCCTCCCTGCTAAAATTCATTCAGAATCTTTAATCTTTAAAGCAAGCAAGAATAACCTCGTTAAAATGAAATTACGTTTTTTTTATTGCTAAAACTACAAGACTGTCACAAACTTGTGCACAATCAATATTTTTCCTGCCAAAAATATTAAAAAAAAAAGAAGAGGCACTCATAAAATCCTAAAAATGACCTTTGCCCAGAAAACTGGACATGAAATTTCCGTCAGATGAATTCCTATTCTAAAAATGGCCAAATTGGAAGTGGTCTTCACACTTACTCATTCCAAGAGGAATTTTGCCGAGATTAAATTTTCTGGAATGTCTTTATGGGAAACGTGCGAAGAAAATTCTCTCCTTCGCCCGCCCCACAAAAGAGAAAAAAAAAGGAAAAAAAGAAAAAGCAAAAAAATGACATAAAAATGGAAAGGAAAAAAAAAAATGGTTATTTGATTTAGGCGTTGACTGTTGTCTTGTTCATTTCCAATGGCTTTTTTATAAGTCTTCAGTTGTTCTCATCATGATTATCTATTTATAC